CCCTTGGCGAGGGGATTGCAGCCTGGCTGGTGTGTGCCAGGTGCTGGGTTGTGGTCCTGGGTAGCGGCAAGGGTGAGGTCTGGACTCGGTGCTGCCCACGGGGGTCTGGCCAGGCCTGGCCACAGCCATGACCAGATAGTCCGGAGCTTTTTGGTGCTTGCTGGGGGACCGGCTCGGGCCAGGCCCCCTTCTCCAGGAAGCCGGCAGTGGGAGCTGAGTCCGCGCGTCGGGGTCGGGGTCCGGGTCGGCACTGCGCAGCCCGCGGTGCTGGAGCAACCGGCGGTGGGGGGGTGGGAAACTCAGGCAGAGGCAGCTGCACTATCGGTCCCCATGAACCCCCTGCTCCCTGGGCAGGCCTGGCTCAAGTCCCGTGTGTGCATGCATGTGCAAGATGAGCACACCCAGGCCACCCCCCCCTTGTGGCACACAGTGCAGCTGCCCCCGTCTCGCGCTGGGGACTGCGCTCCGCCCCGGCATCCCAGCTATTCGTCCCTTCCCAGCACAGGTGGCCGGCTGGGGCTGGGGCTGGGGCGTGCATGGGCTTCCACCCCCCGTCCGGCTGCAGGCCCCCAGTGTCCGCCTGTGTGGGGCAGGTCTGGTGCCCACGGCTCCATGTGGGGTTGGCTGCCCGGGGAAGAGCGCCAGGGGTAGGAGCCCCCAGCACCCACATCGGAGCTGCCCCAGTGCCAGCAGGGCCGGGGGTCCAGAGGTCCGGGTGCCCCTGCAGGGAACCAGTGGGCCAAGATGCCCTGCGCGTGCCCCCAGCTGTGCATATCTGCTCACCCTATAGCGAGCACCTGCTGTGCTGTTCCTCCGTCTCCAATGAGCCACTGGGTGCAGGTGGGACCTGGCACAGCCCTGGTACTGGGCACGCCTGACCCAGCTGCTCCGGCCTGTGGCAGGGCCAGTGAGCACCAGGCATGCCAGCCAGGCTAAAAATACCCCATGCTAATAATACTGGGCTGGCGGCCGCGTGCACCCCCTCCCTGCTGTTTCGTCGCCAGCCATCCCCGTCCCCACCGCTCTGCCCTGCCCCGGCCAGCTACCAGCCTGCACGGGTGCCTCGGCCGTGGCTGGACCCTGCCAGGGCTGGTTGCTACAGCCCCTTCGTGCTGTTGATTTGCAGGGGCCTCCTTGCAGCTCTGCATGTGCTGCTCTCCCTGCAGACCCGGTCACAGGACCTGGGCCTGGCCGGCCCCACGGGAACCAGCCGGCCTTGACCCGGGCTGTGATGACGGCGGGCCCTGGTGTGCGGGAAGAACCGGGCCTCAGCGCGGGGTCCAAGCACCGGGATGGACACTGTGCCAGGGCAAAGGTGCTGGGTCCGTTTGTGGTGCTGGAGCCCTGCAGCTGGGCCATGGTCAACTGTCCTGCTGCCTGCGGTGGGCACCGGGCAGGGCAGGGGCTGGCACCACGCAGTTGGTCCTGCCTGGGGAAGGCCAGGGGCTCTGGCTGTGCCAGGGCAGTGGGCTGCGTCCCTCGGTGTTGGCACGGTTTTAGGAACGTGGTAGATGAGGATGATGCGGGATCAGCCCTGTCCGACCCAGCCCAGACAAACCCTGTGTGCAACCTCAGAGCCACAGGACAATCGCCCCGATACAGCCCCAGGCATCGCCCCCACCCCTGTCCCCAGGATGCAGGGGGGCCGCGACCGCCAACCTCCTGCTGCTGTCAGGGGGTCGTGGGTGCTGCAGAGAGCCCAGGCCCAGGCCATGCCCCCGCTGCAGAGGAAGGCAAAACTCCCCAGTGCAGACCAGTCTGAGCCGGGGGAAAATCCCTTCCTGCCCCAGTGCGGTGTTGGGCTGAGCCCAAGCGCAGGGGCAAGACCCTCCAGCCGGGACCCTGCAGCGGGGTTGGTGCAGCAGGAGCATTGGCCCAGCCCAGCCTCATCCCCAGCCTGGGCTGCAGCAGCACCAGCACCGCTGTGGGAGGCTTCAAACCCCCCGACACATGGAGCAGAAAGGGGAGAAGGGGGCAACCAGCACAGCCCAGATGCCTGGGATATCCCCACAGCACAGCACAGCACAGCACAGCACGGGCATCGCTGCACCTAGATCATCCCCACCTAGTGCCTGTCCACCCGCTCCTTGATGCCCCCAGTGCTGCACAACCCCCCCTTCCCAGGCATCTGCCCCCCACCTCCCTGTTCTGACAGTGAAGAAGTGTTTCCAAATCTCCAGTATAAACCGACTTTGCTGCAACTTCCAGCCATTGCATGGGGACACAACTTTCCCTCTCCTTTCCTGCAGCACCAGAGGGATTTGCAGGCTGCTGTTGTGGCCCCTCAGCCTCAATGCCCTGCCTGCGCCTGCGCCTGCTCCCCCGGCCTCTCTTGGCCGCCCAGCCAGGCCCCCACGTGTATCCGACACCACAGTTGATGGCTCTGGCCCATCCAGAGCCGGTGCCCCGTCAGAAGGAAATCGGGTGGGTTGGGCAGCACCTGCTGGGACACAAACCCAGAGGCCCCGGGGAGCTGGGGCAGCTTCTCGTGCGTGTTTCCAGCCGTCTGGGCCCTGCTGGCCGCCCCTTGGGTGCAGAGGGAATATTTTCCTCTCCTTTCTGCTCCATGTGTCGGCGGGGTTGAAGCCTCCCCCAGCGGCGCTGGTGCTGCTGCAGCCCAGGCTGGGGATGGGGCCCAGCTGCGCCAATGCTCCTGCTGGCACCAACCCCGCAGGGTCCCGGCTGGAGGGTCTTGCCCCCGTGGTCAGGCTCAGCCCCACGCCGCACTGGGGCAGGAAGGGATTTCCCCCCTGCTCAGACTGGTCTGGACCTGGGGGTTTTGTCTTCCTCTGCAGCAGGGGCACGGCCTGGGCCTGGGCTCTCTGCAGTGTCTATTAACCCCCTTTGCAGCAGCGGGGCATTGGCCACGGCCCCCGCTTTCCCAGGGGAGGGGCGATGCCTGGGGCTGTGTCAGGGGTGACTATCATGTGGCTCCGAGGTCGGACATGGGGTTTATCCGGGGGCAGCAGGTCTGGCCCCTCCAGGACCATGTGTTTGCCCCCTTTTCTCAACCATGGAAAGTTGTTGCGTGGCTCTCCTGCAGCAGTCCTCGGCGTGGCCGGGTCTGGCAGAGCGGTGCTGATGCCCTGGCTGCTGGCAGATCTTGGGGCTTCTCTTGGGACCAGGGCGTTGGCGTTGGCGCGCTGCCCCGGGCTCCTCTTCTGTGGCACCTTCAAGGCTCTCGCAGCACCCCGGGGTGTAGCGCGGGCTGAGAGCCCCTGCCCTAGAGATCCAGCTGGGTGTGCCTGGGGGAGCCCGGTCCTGCCTGGGGGGCTCGCTTCGCTCGGGGTCAGGGCAGCTGCTGGACTTGGGGTCAGGAGGGGCATGGCCGGGGTTGCATTTGGGGGATGCTGCCGGGGCGGACGCAGGGCTGGGGTTGCTCTGGGCACGGGGGATGTTGGGGTGCGGGGGGGGACGCTGGGGCAGAAGGCCCCGTTCTCGCCCAGGGGCAGGGGCCTC